TTTCATCTTAGTTAATTATTATATTTAACAAAAAATTTGAACTTTAAATACAAAATATTATAAAAATAAAAATATATATACTATATTTAACAATTTTCAAAAGTTTAGGAGGCAACTTGTCTACATCAACTCCCTTTCATGTGTTTTGGGCCACATAACAAGATAGTGATGAATTAGGTGGCACACTTCAACGGCTAGAAAGAATTCCGTTAGTTTAGTTAACGGAATATTTGCCAAGTAGATTATTTTGAAACAAATTAATAATTTATAGATTATTTTGAAAGAAAAAATTATTTATAGACTAAATTGAAAAAAAAAACCACATAGTTAATAGACTATTTATTTATTTTAACCTTTAATCTACAAGTATTTAATTATTTTTTTAGACAACCATTTTTTTTTTTTGTTCTAAGCAACTATTTTTTTCATTAGTTTCAGATTTCTGAATCAATGTGATTTCTACTAATCTTAACTATCTTATTGTAAAGTTAGGCAATACAATCCTGAGATTTGTAATATAATTAGTTGTGGTTAGTAGAAATAGCCACCGTTATTTATGTAATTGTAAATACTGAGTTTCTCCCCTTTTTCGTTGTTGATCTCAAACTTGCAGGCCTGGAGAGGTTTTGATTTCTCTATTAAAGTTGTTGGAATATTGAAGCAGTATTTTATGTCTCATGTTTAGGAATCCCCATTAAATTTTTCTGTGCTGCCTCTGGTTTTGTTGGGGAGATACTGTCACACCTTTACTGTTGGAGCTTTTGGCTAATTTGCTTAAGGTTATTATTATTTTAATGTATTAGTTACTCATATATGCCTTCATCTTGCTTTGCATGATTTTCAATGTTAAATATTTATCTTCCAACTGGCATGCAATAAATAATGCAGACTGAATTATAAGGGTCAAGTTATGTTTAAAAAGTAACATATTCCTAAATGTTGTGTGTTTTCTGACTGTGAAATTTGGTTGTCTCCTACCATGGTTTGCTGCTTGCATGAAATTCATTTCATCTATGATTGCATGTCCTACCATCCCTGAGATTTATGGATGGTGAAATGTGTTTGAGTCTAAAAATTTTTAGAGGAGAGTCTCTGAAATCATGTTCAATGGAATCAGACACTAATTCCTATGAAGGATTGCAGCCAATTCTGAATTGCTTGATTTGTTGCTGCTTTCAACCATTTTCACCAATGTTAATGTTGTCCCTGAGCAAGAAAAGAGCTAGCTTGAGCATCTGAACTGGATTTTAGAAGGTAATATTTCAGCATATCAATTTTAGTAAAATAAAATTATTGTATTGGCGTGAACTTCTGTTGCGCATATGCTAAAATTATTTATAAATCTTCCTTTTGTACATCTCATAGGTGTCTTTGACCCCAATTCTGTTGAGGTCTCTAGCCACATGTTTTATTTCTCTGAGTCAGCTTATTTTTTTGGCAGTTGGCAGTCTCTTTTTATCTGAAGAGGCAAAGTATGCTGCAGAATAGGCCTTGGTTATACTAGCTCTTCTCTTTCTTTCTTTTTTTTTTTTTTTCTCCTACTTGGGTGACTATAGCCTGTTGATTAGAAGCAATTGGTGGATTAGAAAGGCCTGATTGTTCTTGGTGCTAATTACAAGAATAGTGAGAAACAATTTATTCAGCTAATAAATTTTCATGCATTCAGGCTTCAGCTTATGGAAATGGTTTGTTAATTTATAGAACTCTTTGTTAATACACTATTCTGATCTAATGAATGAAAATTAAGCGAGAATTCTATGGATTAACAAGCCATTTCCATTTGAGTCAATAAGCTGTTTGGGTTTGACTGAAGTAAGCTTCTTTGTTGCCTGTGTATCACTTTTAGCTATTCAGTGACTATAATTTGAAAAATATATTCTCTCTCTCTCTCTCTCTCTTTTTCCCCATAAATAGCTTCCTTATACAAACCTCTTGTAGGAAGTGCCACACCATCTGATAGACATATTGGATCCATTTGAAGGTATGTTTCCAGTAACATCAGAGAATGTCAATAAACCATGTTATGCATTCTGTTTATCATAGACATCATTTGCCTTCCTAAGTTTCTGAAAGTTTCATTTTTCAATATTAAAAACTGAGTTTTATTCTTTTTATTAGTTCAGACTATTCTGTAGGACAATTTTTTGAGGATGCCAGGCAAGCAACAAGAAATGTTCTTGACTGTGGCCACGTTCCCATAGTCACAGGTGGAACTGGCTTGTATTTACGATGGTATGTGCTCAGATATACTTTTGCCTAGGTGAGCTTTGTTAAGTTGCAGTGCTTCATCTTTTTCTTCAATATAACTTCCTGATCTCCATAAACTAACCTCTTTGCAACAAAGTCTGCATTTTCTTTTTGATTCTCTCCCATGCCCCTGGCTTCCTCAATTGGGTAGCGTTGCTTCATATTGTGCTTTAAATCTTTGTGAAGTGCATTTTCTCTTATGGTAATGCATGTTGTGATTTTATAGGCTGGCCTGGCGTGTTCTGGTTGAATTTTCTTTCTTATGAGTTATTGTAAAACAACATATATGGAGTTGTTTGTTATGATATCTCTTCTTTTTGCTATTAGGTTTGTATATGGAAAACCAGATGTTCCAAAAGCTTCTACAGAAATTGCAGCTAAAGTGCATGCAGAGATAGCAGATTTTGAGAGAGATGGGGAGTTGGATGCTGCTGTGGAAATGGTGGTTAAGGCAGGAGATCCAAAAGCTAGGTCATTGCCTGTCAACAACTGGTATCGATTGCGTCACAGCCTTGAGATAATCAAGGTCAGTAATAATGGTTTAAAGGTCTTAGTATCCTCGCAGCCATTTGCAATCCCACACCTTTGAGTACAGAGATGCATGGTGATGTTTGCATATAGGCCATATCATGTATGTTGCTTTGGAAAAAATTCATTTAACAATAAACTTGTTATTTTATTTTTTATTTTTTGTTCTCTGAAACATAATAATTTTGTCTTGTAGTTCAGTGAGTTAAATATTGTGATGAGATTTTTCTTGTGTTTGACTCACGTATGAAGGGTGATAGCTCAGACATCTCCATCATATGTGCTCACATTTCTTTATTGTATTTCTTGGTATGGCAGTCGACTGGATCGCCTCCATCTGCCTTTCACATACCATATGATTCTTTCAAGCAACAATTTGATTCAAGTGAAACAAATGATTCTCACAACTTGAACCCCTCTTGTGATGTACCTGAGCAAGTTACCGCAAAGGATTTGGACTATGAGTTCATTTGTTTTTTCCTCTCATGCCCCAGACTTGATCTGTATAGATTAATTGACTTAAGGTGTGAAGAAATGCTTACAGGTAACTTGAGACTTAATTGTATAGCTTGTGAGCTCTTTTAACATAACATTTACAACTATGATTATTGACCCCACCATCGCATGTAAGTTTTTTATGATTGCATATGTTACTAGTCTTATATTTCATGTGGGCCATGTTTGTATTTTGATTGCAGTAGGAACAGACGGGATTTTGTCTGAAGCTAGATGGCTTCTTGATCTTGGGCTTAGTCCAAATTCAAACTCAGCAACTCGAGCAATTGGTTACAGACATGTATGTCTTTGTTAACCTTATTGCTTCCTCTTCATTATGTATCAATCTCCAGGATATGCAAACAATGGATAGTTTTGAAGTTCATTTCTTGATCCCCCAGAATGCTTATTTTTGTGAAGTGCTTCAGTTTCTTTGTTCAAGTTCATTCCCTTATAAAGTAAATATTCGAATACTCTTTTAAGGCTATTATAAAATTCATCTGAATTACCTTAGTTATGATCATATGAAATAACAATTTGGGAAATGTTAAAAACAGAAGCATAATAAATGCACCACATCATCTTGAAAGAACACACGTTCCTTAATTTCTATGTTTAGTTAGATAATTTATTAACGCTTTTGTCAACCTCCGTAGTTCCTTGTATATTCTTCTACTCAACAGAATGTTAGTGCTTGAGATTTCCATGGTCCTGATTTTAGACATTGCATGACTCTATTTAAGGATTGTCATAACCCAATTTTAATTGGGGTTCAGTGATAAAATTAGAGGTCAATGGACTATTTTTGTAAAAGCTGAAAACTTGAAGGACTGAAAGGAGGAAATGGCAAAATGACATCGTTTTGCTAATGGGCCAAAATAAATAAAAGGCTAGGGTTTCAATTGAACCCTAGCCTCTCCAGTTTGTTCTTGTCGCACCTCTTCTCTCAAAATTTTCAATTTGGTTGAATCACGACACTAGGGGAGATTTCTTCGAAGATAAGCTCAGTCAATTGAAGGATTTGGATAAACCGTAAGTCATCAACTACAAAGAGTCCGAAATTGATTCAAGGTGGGAGTCCTAAATTCTAATGCATAAAAGGTGTGAATCTAGACTTGAAAAGGGGTAGATGCACGAAGAACTAAGAAATCCCATTCCAAATAGGATTGGGTTGTTATCTTAGCGATTTGGATTGGATATTAGAAGCATATTAGGATTGGGTTTTCCTTGTTGTCTGTAAAAGGGGGCCTTTGGCTTTAGAGGGGGCATTCAGAAATTTGAGGGAGAAGGGGAAGAAATCCGAGAGGCGGCAAAAAGAGTGGGAAGCAAAGGAAAGAAGAAATCTTGTATTTTAAAGTTTGCAACAAATAAATAAATTGGTTTTTCTCCATTTCAGGCGTGTTTTATCTCTGAGAATATGGAAGAATTTGGATCTTGAATCTCAATTTTCTGTTTTCCTTTTTCTTCGTTTCTTTTGTTTCTTGGTTGCTATATTAATATGGTTCTTTACATAGTTTGTTCTTTACATGGTTTGTCTATAAATAATCTTGAGAAAATTTTTATTGGGTGTTTTCTTGTTGCATACATATTTTCTTCCTTTAGTTGTTTGTCTCCTGTTCTGCTCGTCACCTGGTTCCATGGCTGTTTTTTTTTTTTTAATTTGTTCAGAGTAATTTAACAAAACCAATTACCATCAGTTTAAGTTTAGTCACTGTTTTTTTTTTTTTTTTTTTTTTTTGGGTATCGTTTGGAAGTTGCTGCTTGGGTGAGGATATGGGTACTATGAGTCAAGTTTGTACTCCGGTAATCTGGAATAATGGACAAAATTTTTTCTTGGATTTGCTATTCTTTTGAAATGCATTAGGAAAAAAAAAACAAAAACGAAAAAGAGAAAAAGCGCAGGAAAAAGAATAAAAAAAAACAGAAAAAAAAAAGAAACGGGAAAAGATAAGGAGGTGTTTTAATTTAAGTATTTTTTGTGTTTATTTTGGTAATTATTATTTTTGATAAAATTAAAAATTCTTCAAAATTAAAGTATGTGGTAACCATATTTATATGAAAGTTGTAGGGTGCTTAACACTTTCCACATGCTTAACCAACCCTTTGATCTTAGTCAATTTCTATACAAACTTTGGTGATCTATCCCACCTCGTTTGGATAAGACTTTGATGATTTATCCCACCTCATTTGGATAGATGTTGACTTCATCCATTTTAGCATGTCAACAGTTTTGGCGACTCCACTGGGGATATTGAGGGGTCAAGCCATTTATACTTTAATTTTGGGGTTTTCAATTACTAACTTTTGTTTTGTAGGTGGCATGGAGTGCCTTGTAAGTTTTTTATTTTTATTTTTTATTTTGTTATTTTATATTTTTGTTATTTTTCATATGTTAATTTATATGTATACTCCCTCACACACCTCACTTGCATAGCATTTTGTCCTTGACGAGGTGAACCCGACCTCTAGATAGATGGATAACTCATGGAACAATGCAAAGCGCAATGCTTTCTTGTGAAGCGAGATTTATCTCTTTTAGGTTCATTTTATGGGTTAATACGGCCTGCCAACCGTAATGTTGTTATTGTATTAAGTCATGAAATACCTCATGTTAACTTTATAGAAATTGGCAATTATTGACTTTATGGAAGTTAATAGTTGTTGAATTTATAGAAGTTAGCAGTTGAAAAAGCCTAATCATACAGGATCCACTAGGAAACCACATGTAATGGACTTCGATGAAAACTTAACCATAGGATGGTCAGCCTAGTAAACCCACCTTCAAAGTTTAAGAACCTTATACATAGGACACATTGGGAGTATTTTATTTTTAAACAATGTTTTTATATTTCTTAGGCGAGGAATTCAATTAAGAGGTATGACATTTATTAACTCTCTTTTTTCTTTTCTTTAATAAATAGATAATTGATTATTTTACACATGGATTCTTTGGAGAAAAAGGATAGTAAGGGAAAAATGGTGAATTTAAAGTTAGAATCCAAGATGAACAAGTCACACAAGGATGGATTCCCTGTGTAGACCAAGAGACCCTGTGTAAAAGACTTGGTTGCTGCTTGGAACAATCTAAACAATCTTGATAAAGTGAGGTTTGACAATGAATTTGGAATAATAGTTGATGTCCTGCAAGTGGAGCTGGACTAGGAAATCATTAGTGCAATCCTAAGATTTTATGTTTTTCATCTTCATTGCTTTGTTTTTCTTGAGTTTAAATTCATGCTCAACATTGAAGAAATATTTTCAATTGTTATTTAGTCACCCAACAATGAATTCAAAAGTTGATCAATGGAATCTATTTTGAAATGGTTGAGGTTGAGCATACTATTCCACCAAATCAACATAATGCAGCTTCAAAATTTGTAGAAAGGCTTTCAAAGATGATAAAAGGATATTGTGAACATGAGCTTTAAACAATAGAATATTGGAAAAATAAAGGGAAATGAAAGTTTATGTTTGTCATTTATTAGTTGTTATATTCAAAATTTTAAATAAAGGAATAAAGTTTGAAGTCAAATTTCACATTTTCTTGAATTCTATTTGTTGAGAAAAAGCAAGTTCCTCAATATAAGAGAAGAAAAGATATGAAGGAGGCAACCTCCTCATTATTTTTCTTTTTCTTTTCAAAAAAAAAAAAATCAACAAAAGAAAGGTAATGAAGGGGGCAATCTCCTCATGTTTCTAGCTTGTGTGACAATTGTTTGGCTCGCATTTCACCTTTCCTTGTAAGCAATTGGCTGAAGTTACCGTTAACAATGAGAAATCCATTTGTAAAATAAATTTGGATAATTAGTATTATTGTATGAGGACATGATTTTATGGGGAAGTTTGGGAATCTATCTTTCAATATTTCAAAATCATGATTTGTTAATAATGCTTATATACTTCAGGTGTTGAAGGATTGGTCTTAAAAGGAATTATCTAAGAGTTTGTTCACCTATTCTCACTAGAGCTCTTGCAAGGAAATTGGTTGACGAAGCTAATTTAGAGAAGACAGCTCTTGAAAATCATGTTGAAAATATGGAAAATACTTTGAAGGAATTGATAGCTTCCTTCTAATCTCTTCAAGCAACCTTAGTCGCAAGGACACCTTTGACAACAAATCCTTCGTTTGAAGGAAACGTTCCTATGGAAAGTCTCTCTATTGCCACATCTACTTTAACTCTTGGAAAGGAGCCAATGTCATCTTGTCCACCAAATCTGACTATTGTTGAAGCTTTTGGGGCAAAACCATTTGTTTTGAACGCTGGGGTTGCTACATCTCAGACTAATGAAAATGATCAAGTAGAGACTCAAGTGGTTAAGTCAACTATAGAGGATGAAAACAAGGCAATTAAAGCAAAGGTGCAATTGATGGAGGAAACACTAAAATTGATGCAAGGTGTTCAAACCAATAAATTGGTTAACATCTCATCTTTGTGCTTTTTCCCAAACATTCAATTGCCCCATAAGTTTAAATTGCTTGAATTTGATAGATACAATGGCACCGATTGTCCTTATGCTCATTTGACAATGTATTATAGGAAGATGGCTTCTTATACGTGTCATAACTTAAATTTTCATCCAAAAAAAAAGAAAAATAAAAAATAAAAAATATAAAAATATGAAAATTTCCCTTTTCTTTGACTTATATATCTTTATTTTGTTTTAGGTGCTACATGCAAAAAGAAATTGGAAAATTCAAGAAGAAGAGAGAAAGGACTCAATTGACGAAATTGAAAGTTGGAGGAGTAAAATGCAAAGTTAAACCCAAAAACCAAAAAAACCACCAAAACCCAAAACCCACAATTACCCAAATCCAAAACCCACCAAAACCAAACCCAAAAACAAAACCCAAAAAAAACAACCAAAAAAAAAAAAAAAAAAAAAAGGGGAAGGCATCTCGAACCTTCCCCTTCTTCTTCCTTCGTTTTTTTATTTTTTTACTTTTCTCTCTCCCTAACCAGCCCCTTGCCGCCTGCAAGCTGCCCTGCCCGCCAGCCATCACCGGCCTTGCTCTGCACCAACCCA